ATGCTCAGTCCCCAAAGAGCAGGGCACAGGGGACACCATAGACGCATATGCAGCCTGGCACAGCCAGGCCTTAGCACCAGGCCCTGTGTGGCGGTGAATTTCAGGTGTTGTAAAGCCGACTCACAGGATAGAAGGTGCCTTAGCTGCCTGCCACGTCTCCTACCTGTAATCCCATCACTTTGGGAGGCTGAGGCAGGAGGTTTGCTTAAGCCCAGGAGTTTGAGACCAGCCTGGGCAACATGGTAAAACTTCTCTACAAAAAATTTAAAAATCAGCCAGGTATTGTGGCTTGTGCCTATAGGCTGTGGTCCCAGCTACTCAGGAGGCTGAGGTGGGAGGATGGGTTGAGCCTGGGAAGTCAAGGCTGCAGTGAGCTATGATAGCACCACGGCACTCCATCCTGGGTGGCAGAGTGACACCTTGTTTAAAAAAAAAAAAGCCTAGATGACTGGTGGAGCTGTTATCTATTATCTATCAATCAATCAATCAATCAATCAATCAATCAATCATCTATCTTTTTGAGACAGGATCTCTGCCAGCCAGCCTGGAGTGCAGTGGCAGTTGTGGCTCACCACAGCCTCAAGCTCCTGGGCTCATTTCTCCCACCTCAGCCTCCTGAGGAGCTGGGACTAAGACACACACACTGCATCTGGCAGCTGGCTAAGCATTGTTTCTGAGTGTGAGGATGTTTTCAGTGGACTCGGTGAAGGTCTGCCCTGTGTGGGCAGGCACATCCAACTGGCTGGGGGCCCAGATGGAACACAAAGGGAAGAGAGAAGCATATTCTCTTTTCTGGAGGGAGACACCCATCTCCTGTCCTTGGACATCAGGACTCCAGATTCTTTGGCCTTTGGACTCAGGCTTGCCACAGAGGCCTCCCAGGGCTCCTGGCCAGTCAGCCTCAGAATGAGAGTTACACCACTGGCTTCTTGGTTCAACCGCCTTCTTACCTGGACTGAGCCTTACTAATGGCTTCTCTGGGTCTCCAGCTTGCCGACAGCCTATGGGAGGACTTCTCAGCCTCCATAAGTGTGTGGGCCAGTTCCCCTAGTAAAACCCCTCTCCTGGCCGGGCGCGGTGGCTCAAGTGTGTAATCCCAGCACTTTGGGAGGCTGAGATGGGCGGATCACCTGAGGTCAGGAGATCAAGACCATCCTGGCTAACATGGTGAA